CAGGTCGACAGCAAAGCTCATTCTGAAATGTCCCTTAATCTTTCAGCCTCTTTAGAGGAGGTCAGTGTTTTGGAAAATGATATTGAACTCAACGAGAACAGAGAAGGTCCAGTGAATGTAGAGAGCAGGTGCAGGTAAATGTAAGCTCACATAAATAATGTCCCCGTGGAGCAGATGCTCAGAACATAGGTGGTTCAATTATAGGAGAATGCACCGGTTCTCACTATCGCCGTGCTGTACATATCAAGGCACCAGGATTAGATTACCAAGCTGCTACTAAAGACGAAAACAATGCAGTTGTTGTGGCGTTAAACAGGCTGTTGGAGAGCCCCGTAAAGACAACAGCAGCATGGCTGAATAAATTTGCAGATGGCTTGAATTTTTGTCCCTGTTTCTTCAATTGTCTGGTCTGTGTGGTAAACAAACGGTAACTTGAAGGGACAGTGTCAGCATCAACAGGTCTCTGTTCCAGATTATATTTATTGAGAAGAGTGTGACCTCTGCTGCCGCCGGGTAGTCAGCCTGAAGGTCCCTAGGTATTTAATGTTCCAGTCACTGTCAGCGGGGTCGGTGACTTTTGGTGTGAAATTTCACTGAGAAATCTCCTCACTACTACCTTCTACACCCCAACCCACACACACGCCAACCTTCCCAGCTCAGCGATATGGTTAGAGCTTGGATGGACACAATTAGTCTTTGGCTTGCCTTCTAATTCACCTCCATCCTAAACTAGACACAAAGAACTGGGCCATTGCAACATCTGTGCTCGAGGTGTGGTGGGCTTGTTTCAAACTGCAGCAGTTTTATCGATTCCTGTTACTGACACTGGGGCAAAGTTCAGCAACATACTTAGTCCTGAGGACTATTCCAAATGAGACGACCGGTCTCAGATTATAATGGTTTTGTTCTTGTGGTGCAATGGTGATATCCCTACCTCTGATCCAGGAGCCCTGGGTTCAAGTCCCAGCTGCTCTAGAGATGTGTTATAACATTTTTGAACATGTTTAATTAGAAAATATAATGGTCTTGCTGAGTGTGTGTGTGTGTGTGTGTGTGTGCGTGTGCGTTGTGGAGGTGGAGAGGTGGCAGGTTCGACTCGAAACCAATACAAAACCGAGCAACATGATTGTACGAATGGGAAAGGCAGAGAAGACTGTCGGGTCTGTCATAGCTGGAAGGGTAAAATGAGCTGCTGAACCAAAGGGCAAGATTTGGAACCGTCTGTAGCTCCTCTTGTTGCCTTTTTCTTCTTCTTCTGAGCCGAACAGGACATCACTGGCTGTGGCAAACAAACCCTAACCTTACTCATGACTTTCATCACCTCTAACTTTCTCCCCAAAGGAATGCTTGGACTTGTATGACGCCTTTGACGACCTGAGATCGTTCTGAAGGACCTTAGGAAGTACCTTCATAGTGTACTCGTTGCAAAATAGGAGAGGCCTGGCGATTAAATACTCAATTAAACCATCACGCTTCACATTGCTTCTGCCCTGAATAGCCGGCCTACATTAATCTACGTGACAACAGTGACCAGAAATGCCAGGCTCATTCTTCTGTGGTAAAAAGGGAAACCGGGAAGGGTTTTATTTTCAACACAAAGGTTCTGAGGAAGGGTCACCGGAACCGAAACGTTAACTCTGTTTTCTCCTTCACAGCTGCTGTCAGACCTGCTGAGCTTTTCCAGCAACTTTGTTTCTGTTCCTGATTTACAGCATCCGCAGTCCTTTCAGTTTTTAAGGGTTTTATTCTGCTGTATTTGTACAGTAGGAAATGGGGCATTTTACCAAGGTGATCAGTGGAAAGAGCGCAGCCTGATTTGCATTAGAATTATAATATCAGTTTTGGCAAACTCTTGGGATATATGGTGGGGAGAGGTGAGTGAAACAGCGCACATTCCAGCCACAAGTCACAGGGTGTTGTTGTAGATAAAAGGCTATATTCCATTCAGAAAGTTAACAAATACAAAAAACTTAAAACAAAACTGTCAGCATCACAAAAATCAGGGACAATCTATTATAATATGGAAATATTATATTAATATTAAAATAATATGGAAAGCGGTGAATAATTGGCTTCATAAATGTAGATCTGACTGCAGCTTTGTTTATGAATTTGAAAACTCAGAGTCAGACGAAGAAAGCAAATTATTTGAATTTACAATTTCAAATGGTGTCAGGTATAAACTGGGAAATGCCCCAAAAACAGTGAAGGGGGAGGGGGAAGGGAAGAGGGGGAGAGAGGTCAACGCAACCTGAGAATGATGGGGGTAACAAATCGAGTTTACTGTGAATTGGTCCATGATTGTTAGCGAGAGTTTCCACAATAAAACTGACCCAACCTCAGACTGACACTGCCTGATCCCAACTAGCAAACAATCTGCATTTGTATAGAGCCTTTCAGGATGGCAGGGCGTCCTAACCTTTCAGTGCTGCAGCTGTACTTAAAAGCAATTCCCCTGGCCTGATCAGCCACCTAAAGACTTCCAAACTTGGCATCACTGCCATCAGAAGATTAAATTAAGCCAAAGGCGAGGCATTTAAAGTGCACCCAATTAACACAAGACCAGCTGAATCACTAACTTGCTTCAACTGGTCAAGGCCCGCAAGGAAAATGCCTTTGCAACAACTTTAAAGGGCTTTAATAACTGGGTATTAGCGCGCTAGAGCGGTTAAGGCATTGCAAACTGCTTGGTGGAGTCTATCTTAATCGGTTTGTCATGCTTTCCCGGGGCTCGGGAAAGCGGGGGCCGAAGCAGTGGACCGAAACGTGCCACCAAAGAGAGAGAGATACAAAAAGTTGAACAAGAAAAAAACACAAACCCGAGCCACTGCCGCTTTCTGTCCAGACTTTAGCGGATTGAGCGACCTGAAAGTGTTCAGGCGGAGGTGAGGTATCTGTTGTGGGAGGAACTCAGGAGGTGCAGAACCAAATAGGATCCAATTTCGACGCGGAGATCAGGAGCTGTAGGCGGAGTAGGGCACAGTGATGCTAACGCTGGCTGCATTCAGACAGACACATGGCATCCCTAACTGTCCCATCGCTGTCGGTTCCTTTCCCGTCCCCTCTCCTCACCTCCCCTTCCCTGGAGGGGGGGGGGGGGGGGCATTCCCATTAAAAATGTACCGCGAAAGGAAAGCGGCGAGGTCAGGGTGTAAGGAGGGGAGGGGAGGGGAGAGGGGCGAAGATAAACAAAGCGGGGTCTGCCTCAATAAAGGAGCGTTTCTTTCTCTCTCTCCACATACCAGCCTGTGCTCAGCAACTTTCCAATCGAAACCAATTGCCGAGTCACAAGGAAGGGGGGAAAGGGGCAGGAAGAACTCCGCTGGAAATGATTCTGATGGTGCAGTTAGTGGCGCGGTCAGCATTAAACTCAGGCACTGGCCGTACAGCCAGACACCCGGCGGAGAGGTGTCCGCTTTGGCTTTTGTCCTGTGCCCTTCCCGCTGCTGAAGAAGGGTCACTAGACGATGTCCAAAACATGAACTCTGCTTTCTCTCTGCACAGAGCTTCTGAGGAGCCCCAGCAATTTTTGCTGGGTTCTTTTTTTTTCCCTTTACAAGAGTTTGAGTCGTGGAGAACCGTTTGCCAAACACACGCAGACACACACAAAACAATAAAACAAGGAAAGCAAGGAGGTGTTTGATAAATGCTCCAGAACACCTCTCTAAGTACCAGGGCCCTAAACTCGGTCTGTAAAACATTTCCCTTCAAGAGCTGTGACTTTCTGAACACGGGGAAATCCTAATTCCAGGCTGAGGCTTTTTCAGTGTCAGTGCAATCACTGTGCAAGTTAACGCTGGAATGAAGGAAGCTTTCAATTGTAAATAGGGAATTCCTCTCTCTCTCTCAATCTCCTCTAACATCGCCCCCCTCCACCCCCCAACCCTTTAACACCCAATGAAATAAATATTTGTTATAATCGAGCGGAGGATTGTGGGTAGGTGTGTGCAGAAACAGAGATGTCTATTGTACAGTGTCAGTGAGCAGGAACCCAAATTGTCATGGTAGAGCTGTGAATCTGCTGTTGGCTGCAATTGACTGGCGCTGGGGAGAAAAGAAAGAAAACAAGGGTATGATTGGGGAGATTGTTACTGGGTGATGTGGCTGTTTCCCCTTCTCCCCTGTGTTGTGGTAGTGCCTTGAAGGAGTACTGCAGGTTGAAGTAAAAAGGGGTGTGTGTGTGTGTGTGTGTGTGTGTGAGGAGAGGGGGAGGAGGAAAGTCGGGGGTGGGGGGGAGACGGAAGGACTGGTGTCATCGACTGGGAAAGTGTCATCGTCATGTGGTGAAAAACCCTCCCGTTTATTGGACGGAGGCACGTGTCCGTGATACCGGGGACTAGCGTCACGTGATGGGCCCTATTAAAAAAAAGAACAAAAAATCCAGCAGAGTGGAAGTATTTCTGGATCAGTTGGCGGCTCTCTGTAATATTTATTTGCCGGCGTACAGAGAGTGGCTGTGTGTGAGTGTGTGTAAGAAAGCAGGGCTGTTGCTGTTGTCTCCTCTTTGCTGCTGTATAAGTCGAAAGGCGAGGAGGAAGTCACAGGCTCGGAAAGTGAAGGCTGCTGAATAAGTGCGAACCATGGATACCTGACTGTGCCACTGAGGAGCAAGAGAAAGTATGATTATTCGTCCATAGAGCACGACAGAGAAGGGACAGAGACGGGGGGAGGGTGGGGGTGGGTAGTGGGATAGAGAGAGAGAGAGAGCTTCAGAGATTGATGCTAGGACGAAATTAAATGAGACAGGTCTTGTAAATATTTTGCTGTCTCTCTCTCTCTGTCTACATATATATATACATATATATATATACACACACACACAGGAGCAAGACCTGGTGCTTCTGCTTTGCTCCTACCTCTCAAGCCAAGTTGGATATTGTTGTCCAGTGAACGGACGAAGGCAACAAAGTGTTTTTTTTGGGGGGTGTGGTGGGCGGGCGGGGGTGTGGTTGCAATTTGGAAGGAAGCTAAAGAGTTGCGAAGCTTTTCACATCCACACTATGGAAGAAAATGATGCGAGTAACCACCGCGTAGCCAACCAGGAGTCGAGCGACGAGTCGAACCGGGCGATCATCCTGCCCCTTCTGCAGGCACCGGGTAACCAGCTCCCCCACCGCATCACCAACTTTTTCATCGACAATATCCTCCGGCCGGACTTCGGTAAGAGGAAAGACGGGTACCGGGAACCCGGTCATATCCCCGGTAGGGAGAACGTCAGTCCGTCCGGGCAGAGCGGGGGCAGTCCTCCCGGGCCAGGAGGTGGTGGTAGTGCTGACAGTGGGGTCGGTGAAGGGTCTCCGAGCAGCCCTTCTGGTCCGGATAAGAAACGCGATGTGGCGGCTGAAGGAGCGCTGAGGAACGGAGAGTGCGCCGAGCAGTCCCAGAGTTCAGATTCGGACAGTTCCCAGAGCAGCAGCAACGCGGTCTCGCAGCCCATGTTGTGGCCTGCATGGGTTTACTGCACTAGGTACTCCGACAGGCCTTCTTCAGGTGAGAAAGCACCCGCACACACAAAAAAAACAAAACAAAAAAAACCCTTAAACCTTCATTCATTCTCTCGTTTTAAGAAATGCGACAAGATTGGTTTTAAACTTTAAAGGCGACGTAAAAAAAAGCCTTTTTTTCTTGTTTGCTTAACTTCATTGTGCCTTGCAGAAGAAAACTTCGACTGACTGTTTTCCACGTGACACTATATTTTACAGCCCGCTCTGCAGTAAATCAATGTCGGGGGAAAAAAAGTTACTCCGAATTGATCAGTACACAGCAATGACCGTGAGATATGCGGCGGGCTGTTGTGGAAGTGGGTTTCGATTTGCAAAATAACAAAAGAGATTTGATCCCCCCCCTCCCCTCGGTCCCCTACACGTGGGAAATCCTCAAATCCAGTCAGTGTTTATTATTTAAATTCTTTTTTTTCCAGTGAGGGTGTTCGTATCTAAATCCCAGATTATTTCTCTGTCTCTCTCTTTCCCCGGGAGGAAAAGGGAAAACTGATCAATCTTCACTTGATATACTTTGGTATCACGTCCAACTCCGTTATGGTTTCTCGCGAAAGCCAAAGGTTAGAATATCAAGTTGGCGAGGTTTGCAGGCACGGGAATCGTTTGAACAAAACAAAAAGCCGTGGTTAAACTGCCTCCCGGAGCGGGATTTGCTGTTCATATTTTTCCCCCAAACGAGAGCGTCTACCGGGTGAAATATCACACGTCCCATTGTTTGAGACAGAGCCCAATCCATTGTTAAATTAAAATGGACGGTAACTAGAGGTTTTCGCTGCTGAAAATAAGGTGTCTTTTCTTCCCCCGCATAGACACCAGTCTGATCATTTTGAAGATATACAAACGCTCACGCTGCGCTCGGGTTTGCCTGGGAGATAGATAGACCTCTTTGTTGACTAGTCTTTAGCATATTTTTGTGTCAGGGAAGTAGGCCTCTGTAAACTAGATCGGCTTCCGATTTCAGCTTTCGAGGAGAACACAGGAGGACGGAATTCGTAAGAAGTATATTTTCTTTAAAAAAAATCACTCGGTGTAAATTCATTGCCAACGCGCTGCGTTAGAAACTGAATCTGAAATTTCTAAACGTACAGAAAATGGAACTTCACCTCTCGACAAAATGAAAGACACGGCTACCCAATTTGCCCCAAAATGCTAGACAATTTCCAGGAATTTACTGATGTCATGTTTATTCCATAGAAATATCTCAGTGCCTTTAATTCGGGGGTTGACAGTGTGCAGGAGGGAGGGGGTGCAGCCAGTAAATGTGTTCATTTTATCATGGCCTTGCCTTGTTTTCAATTATAGCCAAAGCGAGATTCTGAAACAACAGAGTATTTAGAACGAGCCTGCTCTAAATAAAACTGCGTTGTTCTGCTGTGTGGCTTCACAAATGTCACAGTGGTCTGTTAGGTTCATCATTGCCGAGGTGTTGAATTGGCAGACATTAAAAATTTAATCGGCCCCAGCACTATGGCCGGCTGGGAAACAAATTATCAAAACCTTCCCCACCGAAGAGTTGCACTTGCTTCCCATTCTGATTTATTGTCTGTGATAACGGTTATTATTACACCAATAAATAGGTGTCAATCGGCTCCACCTCCCCTTCCCTCATGAACCCTGTTTTAAAATATGTTCCCTTCCAAAGTCCATTTGCCAGAGAAACTTGACTGTCTGTGTTGAACGTGCATCCTGCAGCGAATCAAACATTCGCTCAAATGCTGCTTTTTCTAACATTTTAGGATATGCCATTACTGTAAGTCCAGGTAGGAGTGAATGGTCCGTCCCCTCGTTATTGCCTAGTCTTTATTCAAAACTATTTACCAATGGACACTCTCTCTGGCGCGCCATTGAGCTTCTCGTTAATTCACTATTTTCAAAGCTCGCTCCCTCCATTTTAATGTCATTTATAGAAGGTTTTTAGACAAATGGTGAATGACCATGGAGCCATCCTGCATTATATTCGATTCCTCACATGGATTTCAAATTGCACAAATAAATAATGAGTACGCCAGAGTTACTTTTATTCTGTCTTTCTCTTTCTGGACTGCTCATTGAACGGGGGAATCCCATCAGCGCACGAAATATTACATCTTCCAAATCAAACAACCACGACAAAGCGACAGACAATCTGTGAGTTCAAATGCGGTCGGTTATGTCCTGTTTCTCAGAATTTCACGAGTTGTGTCACCTGTACCGAAGGAGATGTGCCATCTCGGAGTGGAGAGATTTATTTGCTTAGAATTCCTCCCTGTAAAAAGGGGAGCATGTCAAATCGACGCCCAATAAATTTCAGAAGCGTTAAAACAATCTGATGTGGGGTTTGTGGGTTTGAGAATAGAGGGAGCGCCACACGAGCAGTGCAAACGCGGTGGGTCTAATTTTGTTAATAAGATGCACACTTACGCCGTACAGTGTGGACCTGCATAAGTTTTGGATGACGCTATGGGGCTGCAATAAATAATGGTGTTTAGTAGGGCAGACGGAGCTGTCAGTTCCGGCAGGCCTACATCAGAAATCTAACCCACCGCCACTCTGACCTAAACTAGCGAATAATTTAATTTTCAAAAGTTACAATTGAAAGCTGATGGCGGCAAGTTTTCAAATTCAAATTAACTGATAAATCAGGAGGGACTGGTAAATGTGCAACCCTTGCCGAAGCTCACACTGTTATCTTGTAAACTTCTGATTTATTGTAGAGTATTTGGGAGCAAGTTCACAAGCGTATGATTTTTTTTTCCTATAGCAGTTCATTTAAAAAATAGATTTCTTTTGCTATTTTTTAAAATCAATATTTACTGCCTTTTGTTTTAAGAGTTGGATTTGATTTTGTTCTTTTAGGTCCCAGGTCCCGAAAACCAAAGAAGAAGAATCTCAATAAAGAGGACAAGCGACCGAGAACAGCGTTCACTGCCGAGCAGTTACAGAGACTGAAAGCCGAGTTTCAGACTAACCGCTACCTAACCGAGCAGCGCCGGCAGAGCCTGGCTCACGAACTCAGTCTCAACGAATCCCAAATTAAAATCTGGTTTCAGAACAAGCGAGCCAAAATCAAGAAAGCTAGCGGATCAAAGAACACATTGGCACTCCATTTAATGGCGCAAGGCCTATACAACCACTCCAGCACGGGGAAAGAGCACAAGGAAGAGAGTGAATAGCAAAGAGCGGACAACAGAAGTGAAAAAAAAACTACAATGCAATAATATAAATCGAAATAAGGGCCAGTGTTACTAAAAGAGAAAAGAAAATATACCAGCATAGTTTTTAAAACAAAAAAAAGTTAAATTGTATGAGATATTATTCCGCAATATTCTTATGTATATAATTCAGGTAAGGTGATGTAAAAAGAAACTGAAATATTTCAATATATGATGAGATTTTTGTTTCTGGGATCTCAGAAGCCGTGGATGCTGTTGGCTGCAAATTTCTATTCGGCGCCGACTGGATGTTGCAGGCGCTCGGTGAACTGTCTGGTGTGAAATTTAAACCCACCTGCTAAAGTCCAAAGAATTTTCCTGCCGTTGTTGTTTTACAGAAAATAAAATGTTAAATTAAATAAATATCAAATGTTTGATTCTACTAACGAGGTTTACAGCTTTTTTTGGGGGGTTGTTTTTTTTAAAGAAAAACAAAAAGTCAAGCAAACGAAAACTAAGCAGTTTGCTGAAGGAGTACTCTTCCATCTGTCCCTTTTAAACTGCGAACATTTCTGAAGAAGCAACTTTTCAACGGACGGGACTCAGTTGCAGTTCAGATGATTTTCAGGTGGAGAGGGGGAGCTATATTTTTTCCAATATTCGCTTAGATATTTAGACGCGTTAATAAAGGCCACTTGGAAGGTAAACCCCCTTTGATCCAGACAGATATGAAACACCTGCAACATTTTCATGAGCTGGAAGGGTGCAAAGCGTTGGAGAAAGCTCCCCAAGAGATGTTTAAAGAAGGAAAGTTTGTTTTTTTTGTTAAAATAAATAACAAGAAGGGGAGCTTAGAAAGCAAAACTCCCAGCCACGCGCTTCCGCCTCTGGAGCGCCTTCCTGTGGTTGAGGGAAAAAGCTGGGCAAGTGAAACTCGCAAAATGTCAAGTTCAAACTCACAAAACTCGATTCCAAATGCAAATAACCAAAAGTCCTAAAAAAAACACTTCTTTTTTCAAGCAGGCGCATATTTAAAATGGAAAGCGACTCGCTACTATCGTTAATTTAGATCCTGGCACGATAGCACTGTTATTGACTAAAAAAAACAAATACCGTGCACCGTAAAGCCACCCAAACGTCGTAACTTACTTATCCAGTGTGCCGATTAACTTAACCCAGCAGCGGGAGTACCTGGGCTCTAACCTGCAAAGAGCAACATACTCAGACCAATTCTCCGGCCTCAAATTCAAAGACAGCAAAGACATATAACATATTTACTGCGGTTATGTTTTGGTTACTATTCGGCATTCCAATTATCGTCTTTTCTAAAACTAATGGTGGAATATGGAATTTTATTTGGCTGTAATTTCAAAGCCCCTGCAGACAGTCTCGTTTTGCGAATGTAGCATAACCTTACGCGCCCACATGCTCGTAGCTTTCTGTACCTCGAAGGATAGGTGCCAAACATATAGCATGGATTTTATTTCTGACCATTCAATCTCAAACAATCTAACATTTCGGACAAAAAGAGGCACTGCTAGCACGTTTGTTATGGCCTGTCGAAGTTACCCCAAGGTTAATGAATGTGCAGTAAAGGGAGACATGTGTTCAGAGATGTGGAGGTCCTCACTGTTTAGTGTCATATCGTGTAAAATGACACTTGCTTTCGCCGCGTTAAAATTAGTAAAATGAGTGTAACCTTGTCCGCAATCGACACAAACCTGGGAACACGAACTATATTTTAAAACTTCCTCCGTTGCCTTCAACTTCACACTTTACACATTTTGGTTTCCTGGTATCGGTTAAATAGGAGATGAACAACAGACTGGATGTTGGAAATTCCGTAGTGTTTTTTAGATGTTTGATTTCCGTGAAACCTGCGTGAGTACAATGACAGTGGATAAAAGTTTAACAGACAGAGAACAGAAAATAGCAGCAAGTGCCTAGAATAGAAAGTACTCAAAGGGAAATAGAAACAGCAAGATACAGTGGATAGAAATCGTGTAGGAAATGCTTTGCCAACTAAATATCAAAGTATTCAATCTGTACACATTCTTTTTAAGTTATAATATTGTGATTGTGATTTTATTTGTATTATTCCAGACTTAAAACGGTTAAAATTATATATATATATGAGCTATATATATCATTCATTCAAATTTGTCCTGTACAAGTGTTTTGTTCCGAGAATGGAGAAATAAACCATTGTACGCTCCCAGGCATAGCATTCATTCAGTAATGTTTCATTTAGAACCGAATGCGGATAAAATGCAAGCCCTTTGCTCCGATTGAGTACAGGCAAAAGAAAACACTGGTTTCTTAGAAATTGGCTCACTTTAAAGTCAAGATCACGAGCATCCAAGGCTTTACGTTCTGCATCCAATCCCACTGAAATTAGTTTTTTCTTTGGCTGGTCTCTTGTAGTGTGTAATATGCAACAGCCACGTGCAACACGATTCTGAACGACGAACCATTTTATCGTTTCCTTCGGAAACAGCTTGGAACATGATGTTTGAATCTAATCCAGTGCGAGCAGGTTATGTCAGTGTGGCGATACGTACAGACGAGATATATAAATATAAAAAGAATTTTTATTTAATAAGATCACAGTTTACAATCAGTTGGTGTTTTAATCCAACGATGGCGTACTCTTCAATCATTTTCGAATGAAAATGTGGTTGTAATTGCATTTTGATGACTCATAAATTGACTGTATGCATTTAGACATCCATAAGCATCGCAAGTGCAGTAAGTATATAATCCAGGCTCTCTCGAAATTACCGACATAGTATTTAAGAATCTGTACCTAGGTACCTTTGTACCTAAAATGGCGCCGTAAGTGGCGACTTGTAAACTTTTCATTGTACTCATGTGAGTACATGTGACAATAAAGCTAATTCTAATTCCAATTCTAAAGATAAAGTGACAAGTTCAAAATATCGCCTTTGGCACCACGCTGTGCATTGACGTGTTGGGTTAAATGTATGTTGAGTGTATGTGAACATACATAAAGTGTTATTTAAGGACAAGAAATCAATTGTTAAGCCCTATAACACTCATAAAGGATTCAGCATAGTATTCTAGAATATTTTATCAGTCAGGCAAAGTTTCAAAAAAAACAAAAGGATTTGTGAAAACAGCTAACCATCTTGGCTAAACTGTTTACAATAGCAAAAACAGGCCTTGTGTTTAACAATAGACCCTGTCAACTTTCTATATTTATGCTTCTCAAAACAAATATGGGTGAAATAGGAAAGTAAAGCTACATTGTTGGAAATAGAAGGGAAACAAGGTAAAATATTTTCTTAGGTGGAAGAAAGGACTTATAAATACTTGGAAAGACAATGGGAAACAAAGACGAGAACTCAATTATTTTGGTTTAAGACTTGCAGCGCTCTATAAAGTTAGAGAAAAGGATCAAATAAAGATTGAGCTGATGTTCTCTAAAAAAGCACAAAGGCTTCATTCGAGATTATAGTAAAAGGGACCTGCACCCTAAAAGGACCTGGGGGAACAATTCCGGTAGAAATCAGCAGAAATCCTTTGCATGATCACAAGCAGCTGCCAATGTTTGACGAGAAGAAATTAACTGAGCATTTATGGAGAACCTAAATGTAGTTGTGGGTTGCGTTTGTATCGCCAATTCCTAATTGTCCTGATGGGAGTAAATTACATTGAGACTTTCCGTCACATTTTTGCTGTAGAAATGATGAATAATGTTACAGATTTCACACGTGGAGTTAGGCAAAAGAAAGTTTTTCCCAAAGCTAAAATGAATTAATTGCTGAAATCTGAAAATTAGCGAATTATATTTTGAAAGAAGAATTCATCTTCAAAGTTCTCTAGCTTTAATGTGCAGCCAACATTTCTTGCTATTTATTACTGTGCCAGTAACATACGTGGATTTTCTCTGGAGTTCAGGAGAAGTACAAACTAAATGTAAGTGAATCTACATGTTCGTTTCGGACTGTTTAGTATTTAGTAAATTCGTGGACAATTTGTTCTTGTACAGAATCCGTACTCTCTAGTCAGTACTCCTGCGTCGATATAGAGAAAATATTATTCTTTGAGAAGTACTCATTTAAATTTAGTCTATCAGTTTTTGAGATATAATTGGAAATGTTAACCGTCCTTAAGGAAGGAAACGTTCTCAATTTTTTTTTTGGTTTATTTGATGTTATCAATATCTGGAGAGAAACGAGTTTAAGAAACATCACAATAACATAGCAACTAACCATGGATCTGATCAATAACAGTGGACTTATTTTGTTGTTCTGGATTGTTTGGGGAGCTTAGCATTGAAATTAGAATGCCATCTTACTTTGTTACCTGAACCATAGGTACAAGCAGTTACTCGTCAACCAAATAGATTAAATATGATGGCCCGTGTTCTGTGACAAGTGAGTAAACGTTAGGGGTGCGTAGTTTAACAATACTTTAAATGCCTTTCCATGAAATGTCTTAGCTCCTCTCAGCCACCTAAACATGCATCAGTTGATGTGCATGAGACGAATGAGGAAGCATAGGTCTGTAAGTTTAAGAGGGCGAAGCAGCAACAGCTGCCAATTTGGCAATTATTTACCACCGATTCTCTCAAGCTCTGGCGTTTTACAGTCTTTGTTGCAACCACAACACATCACGTTGAGAAAATAAAATTTATGATTGAAACAAACATGCATGCGCCAGAGTACAGTAACCGAGAACGCATTACAAAGAAATTACAATTTTGCACAAATCACTTTCGATTTTCAAACCATTCTTATGATTCATTACCAGACAATGGTCCAATTATCCAACGAGTTTGGTGATCATAAAATTAATTTTCGAATCAAATGGCTTCTTTCCCCCAAAGTATTGCCACCTTTTAAATACTGAAAAAGAGAACAACTGTGAACTATGACTATAGTCAGAAGCTCCAAAACAGAAAGGTTAACAGGAATTTTTTTTAGGTAAATAAGTCACAGAAGGGGCAAGAAGGTGAAGAGGCCTATAGTATATGCTTTGAAAGGTGTGAATTAACATACCCGCTGAAGTACCCAAGAATGTACAAATGCTCTTTCTGTACTCTTGGCTACGGCTGAGATTTGAAAAACATTCCAGGAATGGACATGAAGTTTCCCATACGCGCAATGTCGTTATTAGCAAAATAAAGCGTCGTTTCACTTCCTATCGCCATTCAATTCCGAATACTCCAACATTTAGCGGATGACAGCAAAATACTGATGATGCTGGAAACCTGAAATAAAATCAGAAAACGTTGAAGAAATTGGAGTTCTGCAGAAGTCTCTGGACTCGAAAAGTTAACTGTGTGTGTGTGTCTCTCTCTCCACAGCTGCTGCCAGACCCGCTGAGTTTATCCAGCATTTTCTGTTTTTATTGCACAGTTAACGAGACGTGCAGCAAATTTGAAGAGTTGTCGCAATTACTACTCTAATTAAATGGGGGGTTGGGGGGAGAGTATATCCATTCAATAGAAAAGTTCTGGACTCCTTTCCGATAGGCTGAATGCCGACATTTATATTCTGGCGGCCTGTGTAAAATGTAGACAGGTGAGATTCGGATTGCGGCTGGCGCTTACCATACCTGGAAACATTATGACAACTGAAAACTCTCATTCAAACCTATTATGACAAATGAATTGTCACTTGAATGACCAGTTAATATTCCTGTTATTAACGGACCGTGTATTTTCTTTTAATTTTAGGCAATTATATCGACAACTTTGCAATACTTGTCAAAATACTTAATTCAAAAATCTTCGGCCTGGATTAAACAGAAAACTTGTTTCTTTCTTTGCTACTCTACCAAATGTGACATTTTGTGTGAAATAATACAAAAAACACAGAAAAAAAACTGGTAGTGTTTCGTTCCCAATATTTGGAAATTTCAGCACAGAGGGAGAAGGGGAAATAAGTTCGAAGGAGGTGGTAACAATAGAACTCTTCATTTTGATAATCCACTTTGAAATCCTCCATATTTTACTGACTTGAAACATATAGGCATCCAATGTAGATTCTAATATTTTAAAACTATTAATGTATATGATCGCATTTCAAATTTCCCTCTGTTTTTAAAAATATATTCCAAATAACTTTCCAGATTAAGCATCTGAAGAGTTACGGCACGTGTAATGTATATTTGATGTCATAAATTATACGTATAAATATGATGGACTTTTTTCTTTTACAAAGTTTTGAGCGAATTACTTTCAGCGTCTTCTCCAGGCTTTTGTTCGGTCTGAGGCAGAAAACTCTAACTATATGAATTTTCTATTCACACCATAGAATAGCTCCATTCAGGAAAATAGGAGGCGCCGTTTGCCCTTCACACCATGAGTACCTCTATTTCCTCTCCAAACCACATTACGTTCCACTCGTTCCTACCTGTCTCTACTAAATACAGAGACTGGGAAACGTTACACAAAATCACAGACAATAGAAGCTGTCAGAGCAGAGCATTTCCCAGCATTGACCCGGTATCAAATGCTAAAGAAGTAATCTGCATTTCTATTCTTGCTTAGCTTGTATGTGGAAGTAACGCCCAATGGTCACTGCCTTGATGAGCCTGGTCCTGTACAAGTGGGGAGCAACCGTGCCTCTCAGACATTGTGAATGGAGTCAGTGGCCAGGAGACTGGGGTGAAGGTCAAAGCTCCTGCCACAACTGCAGGTGGTTCGTTTCCTCTCATCCCCGCGCCTCTAAATAAAATTCAAGCATCTCCTCAAACTGTCGAGCTGACATGTTTCTATCAAACCCACTTTAACCAATCTTAAACCTGCGGTGATGAACTAAAATGGATTATCCCCAGTGACTTTCCAAACAAGTATTGCAAATGGCGGTGGGCAGAAAAGCCTTCGCTTAGGAACTAAAATGGGCCATCTTAAATATTCTTTGGTTTACGACATCTCACGCTCACAGGGAAGGTAGTGTTATAGTTTAAAGCATTCGGAGTGGAGTGTATTGGGGGCGGGGAAGTGAAAACAAAATAAATAGCAGGAAAGTTTTTTCGGGTCCCACTAGCTGTCTTCAACACAAAAGCAATCCCTTCCCCCCTCAGTTATTTCACCCATACTTTTTAATGCTTCCTTGTCCAACTTGAATATGCAATGAAGCGCTAGTCTTTTGTGGCGGAAATATAATTAAACTGGTGAAAGATGTAAAAGTGAAGAATAGGGATGACATCAGGCCGATTTCACACTTGGCACTCGGATGGCCAGGACCAAGCCAGACTCTTGCCATGCAACACAGATCAAAGGACTGCCACCACCAAAAAAGGGGAAGGGGGATTTAAGTATGCTAATCCCCAGGACAAATATATTTTAATCTTGTTAGAATACAAGTTAATGCTGCAGCTCAGAGGCTGAACTTTGTCAGACTGTAGAGAGCCACTTCGCTGCAGTTCTGATTGAGGTGGACCTCCTGGTTCAATGATATTGAATTTAGGTTATTTTACAAAATAGTCCTTCATACAGACTAGGCCAATCTGAAGAAAGATACTCCCTCTCTTCCACCCAAAGCCTTAGCAGCTGTGTCACTGACCTTGCTAAGCTCCCCTGCCAAGGCGTATACGAGCAGAAGGAAATGAGCATTTATCTATCTAGTTTGCAGATGGCAAACTAAGTCCATTCCACCAGATTCACATCAGGCATCACAGACTATTGATCCTGGTGATTGGTAGAATGGGTAATGGCTGTTTTAATATAGCAGTAGTAGCGATAATGTGCATTTTAAAAAGTAGAATCTATATTATTGCTTCAGCTACATCCAGAAGGCGGTGAAAGAGGAGCTAAGAACGTGGAGTATCTTGACTCGGGAAGGGGGATGGGGAGAGTAGCCTACAGGTCAATTAAAACAAAAGCCACAGCTTAACAAACCTACTTATTTCTAATATAGGAATTCATTTGTACGTTCACGGTACATTGAGTAAAGTATACTTCGAAAATGCACAATGAAATGTAGCCTTAAACTTGTTTTATGGAGTTGTTTAACACCAAATGGTCTCCTCGAAACTTACAATTATCCATTAAAATCACTAAAGATACATGAAACATTTCGGTCAGTAACCCGGATTGAGAAGACTTTTTCGATTTAAAAGCTAGTACCACGAAGCCACGTGTAAAAACAAAGGTTTAACTCCTCATCCACGCCGAGAATTTCGAGAATGGGAGCGTTCATGGACTATCGTCCAGCCAGCACAAAAACATTAGTAAAAGACTATTTAACCAAAAAAAAATAAACTGGTAAACTGGATGCTTCGTTCGGAATGATCACAAACGATGGCCTTATCCCACAAAGTTCATTTGGGAAAAAAAGAATGAATGTTCAAATATGCGTTTAAAAGGGACATCGTGAATAAAATTCCCACGAGTTTACACTTCCCAGCAGGACTCTGCATTGAATTACAAGTATGTGCTCTCCGCGAAAAAAAAACACACACGAGAGGATCTTCACACCATTAATGGAGCCTGTACAATTCCAAATATAAACGCGGTAGGCCGAGTTACCACTTTGCCGCTATTATCAAAGAATTGAAAAATATTTCAAAGTATCTGCATAATAAACATTCACTTACTTAGGTCGTCAGCTGGAAACAGCTAAATAGGCCGTTTATCAGTTTTCAACGTGTTCAGTGATTTCAAAATTGAAAGTTCCTGTTTAAGCTGGACATTCTCTAAGACTTTGACCTCCTGACCATAGATTATGTGTCAATTTCAGCATTATAAAGAAACAATTATGGAGCCAATGACAGCAGCTTCACGTTTTAAGGGATTTTTGGTTTCACGAAGTGACAATGAAGTTTACTTGTATATTTGCTAAAAGGTAATCGATTTGAACATAAAAACACATTTGCCGACACTTGCACATTGTCTTCCTGTTATTCTAATCCATTGAAGAGTGCATTTAAAAAAAATTCCAGCTCAAGATGTGTGCATAATTGAAAACGAATCTAATTTGAGGGAAGGTTTTCTCTTAAAACATTCTGTTTCAAAGGGAGCAGTGTGAATAGCCTAAATATCAGTTAAAAATGATCAAAAAGTTTAAAGGCACTAAGATTGAAAATTAATGTAGGTTTTTTATTTACACTACAAAAGCATGTTAGAACTATATTAAAGTGTACTAAGCAGACAGCGAATTTAAAAAATATTTTGGTCTATGTGCATTATAAATACATTAGTTTCAGTTTGATTTAACAAATGGTACAGATTTGAAATAAATGAGTTAAGGCAACAAAATGCTCTTAATTGAGAAATGAAAATTTGTGCTCCTTCAGTAGAATGAAAGGACTTCTATTCAATGTGATGTGAAGTTTACAGCAAATTAACAGTTATTTATTTTTGAACAAGAATATCAAACAGCCAAGCTGCAATGGACAAACCTAAAAGTTTGCAGAACAATCAAAGAACAACATGAAAGTTAGATTTTGGGGGTGATAGAGACTGCTGTGTACTCTTTAAAAATTTAATTCACAAGCTGCAAGGAAAATGACAATCCTGATAACTAGCTTAAAACTCTAATAAATCCACTATTTTAGAATAAAAATGTAATTTTATTTAGAAGCGCAGATTATAAAATTGAAAATAATCCTAGAGAAAAATCATCACATAATTTATTTGAACAAAAAGAAAGGAAAAATACCATGTATTATTTTCTGGTTTGTGTGTTAAGCTAAAAATATTTCCGAAGGTAGATTATTGACTTAAAATTATTCTTGGCTACAAAATCTGTTTAATAAATTTGTGGGTAATATGAAAACACCAGAACAGATCAAGAGTTATCAAACAACAGCCATAATGAAAGTATCTGAATTAGTGGTTCGTGAAGAGTAGGCAACATATTCAGAGCAGCAGTCCTGGTCCAGTGTAAATTCACCAGCTGTTGATGCAGTCATTTATAATTCTCCCAGTCCAACTTGATATGCACCAGTTCTTTGCAGGATTATAGATCAGAGCGAGGAGTTTGTCTAGATAGATCACATATCTCTGGTTTGGGGAAAAGACAAATAAATAAATACTTCAAGTTTACATTTTTGATATCGTTTATGAAATGTTCTGATAACTAATGATACGTTAATAGCTGAAGTTTTGCACCAGGTTAAGTTGACTTGAATAATATTTTTAGAAGAGCCGATGGAAAAAAAATAGCTTTGGCAAAAAGCAATTTTTGAAAGAAAAATCTTATTATGTCTTGCATTAAGAAGTAGTTTTTCCAAAAGTCAATTGTTTTGATTTTTTTAAAATCAGAGCAAGCCTGGTGAAACAGTGGAACAGATACTTTTAAACCACCTGTTACAAACAATCCAAAAATTCAATGTCATTTGGTACTGTTTAAAGAAAAATTCACTAAATTTCGTAGGTTACATTGAAGTAAACAGACCTTCGCACTGAATACCTCTGCAATGCCTTAAAGATGATTCAAAACATAAATCTTAAAGCTAATTCACAACCCAGATTTTTGGTTGATATGTTCTGCAGTCCTTGCATTAAAGATTGCAGCAAATCTCTGAACACAAGTTTCTATTTTTATGTGAACTATGTTGGGAAAACAAAGCTGCTATTTTAATTTTAAAAAGTTTAAAACATACAAAATATTCCAAAATCCGTGGAGATAATTTTAAATTATACTGCTGTGGGCCTGAGTTCAAAATGCAGATTATATTTAAAATGTAAAGTTCCACTTATGCAGAATATGAAAGTATATTTCAGTCTGCTATGTTTGTTTAATAGCTTGTTAAACATACAAAATAAAGGTTCACCATAGTAACATTTACAGAAATAGACAAGGGCTGACTTGATAGATCAGACTCAATTTTTATGAACTGAAGATCTTATCAGACAGTATATAGAGACTTATTTAAATATTCCTACTATATTACTAATGAATCTCATTGAAATAAACAGCACGAAAAATCGATTTTTGAGATTCTGAACTACAAAAGGGAATTATTTCTCATCTTCAAAGCCAGATAAACCTTATTTTTGTGACCACAGTTCACTTTAGTCTGTTACAAATATGTACCAACTTTCCTCCTCATTTGTGCAAATTAAATTAGAAACTCTCACAACAAACTAGTAATCAGCAGTGTTTTGCAGAACCAATTCTCCCAAGCTGTAATACTTTTCTAAGTTTATTTTTGTTTATCTTCGTGAACTGTTCTGGATCTTCAGTCAAAATTAAACAGCAAAATACACAACTAAATTTTAAAGATAGTTTAGATCCCCAAGGTGATTTAACATTAGCTTGAAATAAAACAATGGCACTAGTGAGAAACATAAGAAATGTCTTCAAGAATTAGCAAAAACAAGCTATCATCACAGATACACTAAAACACATCAAGTGAAATGTTGAAATTAAAGCTTTGCAGCTTTTAACTATTTGAAATTAACATTACGATTCATCACCTTTTTATTACCATCTCCATGGATGGAAAAGTATATTAGTTATTAACGATAGACTCTAATCAAAAGAAAATTGAGATTTTAGCCACTTATTCCCTAAAGAATCTCATTTCAGCTAAGGGGATTTTCAGCAGGCAGCTTTTCTGAATACTAATGGAACCAGTCATAAACAGTGGGATACAATTAGCTAAACACACACTATATCTACTTACCAGTAAACTATATTTGATTCCATTTATAGAAAATAATTTATTGAAACAGAACAAGTTTTAAGTTGCATATGAACAAGATGGTTTGAACTGACTATAAATATCAATAATTACGCAAAAGTTCCACTTGGCTAATGGTACCTTAACAGAAGAAACTTAGATGGGCAAGTGATGACCCAAACTATTTAATCAGATTAAAAGATTTCTCTCCCATCCAACCTAATCGACACAATATAGTTATAAGAAACTGACAAAAGGAAGTATAACATCCACATGAGATGCAGTACCTGATTTCTCGTTGCATAGCTTGTCAGCCACATGGTCTGCCTCATGGGCAAACAGAGAAATTATTTCCTCTTCGTATTCTTCCAGTATACTTTCACACTAAGATCAGAAATAGTAGGATGGCATTAAAGTTCAAAATGGACAAAATGAATTACTGTCATTGTTTTGAAACATAATTCTAGGTGTTCCTTTGTTACCTGCTGCCATTTTCTATTGCCTACATCTAAACCAACATAGCAAAAACCAACTTGTAATATTTTCACATTAAAATAACATGAAACTGCAAAAATGTGATCACCAGCTAATTACCATTCTGTTACCACATTTCTTTTTGGTTTACTTTTAATACAATTTAAAACCTCAGTAGCATAATTTTTAATGCCGATTTCATGAACTGAAGTTTTGGTGCCCTCTGCTGTAATAGCTGCCTGTTCACATATAAAAAAATCCTTACCACAAACTTTAGTGATTTAGAATTTTCAGGATCAAACTTGAAATTTTTAAAATCTACTGAACCCAGTTTCTCAGAATCCCTTGGAGCAAATCTCATGTAAGTCTTTTTCTGGGTCTCTGGATCCACGTATAATGCATAATCATCCATATTTGAACATATAGTTTCAAAGAGTTCAAGTAGATGGGTCTCTGACTTAGCATATGGAATCTGCAAGAAAACAGAATATGAACAATGCATTATGCATTTTATTTTAAAAAACCTCAAAACAAGCAATGCAACTCAAGTTGAAAAACATCCTAGTATTTGCTTTTGTCATCTTTGTTCATTTCAAATACATTTGTGGTCCGGTCAAAAATCCCAAAATATGTTAAGAAAAAACTTACTTCAGAAAATTAAGTAAGTGGACCACCATAACTAGTTTGTTCAATGACTGGTCAGTCTAGACACTGTTCATTTGCCTGCCAGCATCTGCTTAATCATTGTTCAGGATTCAGAGGGGTAGACAAGGCCCAAAAGTCAGTCAGGTCTACAGTCTCAATTTTCATTTCCTGGAATAAATGTTGCAGAATTGTCTGATCTCCTCCCCCTTCACCAAATTTAAGAAAAACTCCAGTCAACACCTATTTTCCGAGTGAATTGCCCACAAAAAATGCACAAGAGGTCAGAATAGCCCTTTGCCTTAGTAACTGGACAAAAAGTTTTAACTGTCTAGACAGGTCAAGGTGCAAAACGAGCCCCGTTGCTTTCTCCGGAAGGGTTTCAATTGAAGCCAAGTACAGGGTAAACAGCAGAGATACATCCGCAGGCCTTCGCGAGTCCCTCCTGCCACCCTCTACTGATCAAAGTAGGAAGTTTGCATGACAACTGCAGTCAAAGGGCTGAATCGCTGATGAACTCTATTTCAGCAATGTAGATATGGCCAGATTCCATTGTCTCCTTTCAAACACAGTATGGCCCCTTCCGGTCTTCGTGATTACATTATGGATGCATTTTCACATAAGCAGTTCATTCACACAAAAGGTTTCTCCTTGCTTCACTGCCATCTGATCACAAAGCAAATACATCAGTGCCTAAACATTAAAATAAGTGTTTTACTGACTACATTACTAGCTCAGAGGTTTTTTCCATTTTACTGACTGGATACGATTATTTGTGCAGAACGAAGCAACTTACCTTTATAGAACTTTGTTTGTAAGATCTATCACAGGTCGAGATTTTTGGTAAAAAAATGTGTAGGGAAAATTATATGAACATTTAGACCTTATGCTATATCTGCATAATACAACATTGCTACCATCACTATGGATAACATCAATTCTCTAGTGGCTTTGTAACAAATCAATGTTACAGAGCACCATTAAGCTAGGTTTGAGAAAAAAACACTTTTCCTCAACATTGTCATAGGAGCTTAAATGCATTATATTCCTAGAAGCATTTCTTGATGTGACAGAGGGGGAGAAGGGAAAAAACACATTGCACTCTGCCAATAGAAAAGATGTCTGAGATACTGCCCTGTAATTTGCAGCTGCCATTGAAATAAGAATGAAGAGACTGCCATTATTAAAATGTGATGGAAGAGAGTCACAATCAATTTTTCCTGTCTGCATGGACAAAAGTTTCTTATCTTACTAAAAAAAAAGACTGATGCTTTGCAAAGAGGCGATAAAGGTGAAGTGCTTTGGATTTTTCCAATGTTGAAACACAATAGAATGAATTCCCACCTTCAGGATAACAAAAGCATTTTTTTAAATAAAGATAGCCAAACTGCTAGTGAAAATGCATTTGCAGAACGTTTTATGAAAAAAAAATTGTTTACACCAGATAAATATGATTTTAAAAAGACAAGAACGACTGCCTAGAATACTAGAAATCTGCAACTTGGAAGAAAACAAATCTAAAAAAAAGTTCTTGCTTACTAAGTAGATACAAAACATTAAAATCCACCCATTTGAATTTTGAAAGCAGTTCCTTTAAGTTGCAGTTTTATTTTAATGATTGCTGTCCAGCTCCCATGGCTGGTTCATGACTGTTAAATTACACAAATCAATGTTTTCTCGCACAATTTTAGTGATATATCAAAAATATTAATTTTGTTTTGCTTCAATTAGAGGAATTTATTACTTTAAAAAGTTAGTATTCCAAATGCATGACTACAGAGTTTAACCACAATCTTTTCTTCATATGCAGAATTTAAAGCATCAGGTTAAGACAGAATACAAAGATTATATTGCTATGTGTTAGCACTTGCTTCAATCTAAATATGACCCAGATAAAAACAAAACTGCAGCTTTTCTGCAGCAATTTGTTTAGAATGAGAAAATCTTGTAGTTAATTACAAGCCTATATTATGTATTACAAGCCCATTTGTCCAATTGGGCTCCATACATGTTTGGTCTAAACTTGCTTATTTTAAAGAGGAACTGAAAACATTTGATTCAAAAATTTCTGCTCAGGTTATTAGAAATAACAGCTAAGGGAATGGAAATATTCTATAAACTTAAGACTTCATTTAATCTAGTATACTTTTGAGCAATTAAATACACTTCTGTTAAGATGATACCTAGTATATTAATTTAAACTTTTTGGAAATTAAGAGTATTACAGTACTGAACAGAACAGAAACAAAAATACAAAAGTACGAAAATTGGAAGAAAGAAAAACTAAAGCTGTTTACAGCAAACTAATCTCCTCAATGCTTTGAAAAATGACCCGTGAGGTCCAAATCAAAACCATATTGTCCATGGTTTACATAGTAACTGTCAGATGTCAGTCTTCAGCCTCGAGCCACCTTTTAATGAAACCCCTTAAGTCATTTTTTTTAAACTGAAGGTGAACAATAAAATTCCACAGAGTATACTTGACAATTATTCAGTGAGTAAGCTTTAATTTTGGCCACAGAGGATCATGGGAACATGGCACCTACAACTCAGTCAAGTAAAGACAACTGGTGTGCCAATCTAAAAAGTAGTGATATATAAGCTGTGTGAAATTCTATCCAAAATACTTTAAAAAAACAATTAAGTTTGATAAACTAAGTAGTTCACACATATGCAATTTCTTAGAACATAGAACAGTACAGCACAGTACAGGCCCTTCGGCCCACAATGTTGTGCTGAACTTTTACCCTAAACCTAAGGTCTATCTAACCTCCACCCCTACCTTATACTATCATCCATATGCCCATCTAATAGCTGCTTAAATGCCCCTAATGAGGCCGACTCCACTACCCTCTCCGGCAATGCATTCCACGTCCCGACCACTCTCTGAGTGAAGACCCTACCTCTGACGTCTCCCCTATACCTACCTCCACTCACTTTAAAACTATGCCCTCTCCTAATAGCTACCTCCACCCTCGGAAAAAGTCTCTGACTGTCCATTCTATCTATACCTCTGATCATTTTGTACACCTCTATCAAGTCACCTCTTATCCTTCGTCGTTCTAAAGAGAAAAGCCCTAGCTCTCTCAACCTTTCCTCGTAAGACCTTTCCTCCATTCCAGGCAACATCCTGGTAAATCTCCTCTGCACCTTTTCCAACGCTTCCACATCTTTCCTGTAATGAGGCGACCAGAAATGGACATAATACTCCAGATGTGGCCAAACCAGGCTTTTGTATAACTGCAGCATAACTTCACGGCTCTTGAACTCAATCCCTCTATTAACGAAAACTAACATGCCATATGCCTTCTTAACAACTCTATCCACCTGGGTGGCAGCTTTCAGGGAATTGTGGACATGAACCCCAAGATCCCTCTGCTCCTCCACACTGCCAAGAATCTTTCCATTAACCCTGTATTCCGCTTTCAAATTTGTCCTTCCAAAATGAATCACCTCACACTTTTCAGGGTTAAACTCCATCTGCCACTTCTCAGCCCAGCTCTGCATCCTATCAATGTCCCTTTGTAACCTAGAACAGCCGTCCGCACTATACACAACTCGACCCACCTTCGTATCGTCCGCAAACTTACTAATCCACCCTTCCACTCCTACATCCAAATCATTTACAAAAATCACAAATAGAAGAGGACCCAGAACAGATCCTTGTGGTACACCAATCATAACTGAGCACCATGCTGAATATTTTCCATCCACTACCACCCTTTGTCTTCCAAGGGTCAGCCAATTCTGAATACAGTCTGCCACATTTCTCCCTATCCCATGCCTCCTTACTTCCTGCATGAGCCTACCATGGGGAACCTTATCAAACGCCTTACTTAAATCCATGTATACCACATCCACTGCTCTACCTTCATCCACGTGTTTGGTCACCTCTTCAAAGAATTCAATAAGGTTTGTGAGGCATGATCTACCCCTCACCAATCCATGCTGACTATCACGAATCAAACTGTGCCTATCCAAGTGATCATAAATCCAATGTCTCAGAGCACTTTCCAATAATTTGCCCACCACTGAAGTAAGACTAACTGGCCTGTAATTTCTGGGGTTATCCCTATTCCCTTTTTTGAACAAGGGAATGACGTTTGCCTCTCTCCAATCTTCTGGCACTATACCCGTGGACAGTGAGGACGAAAAAATCATCGCCAAAGGCCCTGCAATCTCTTCCCTCGCTTCCCATAGAATCCTTGGATAAATCCCATCAGGCCCAGGGGACTTATCTATCTTCAATTTCCTATTAGTAATTCATGATGTTTAGGCAGGAAATAGCCACATTGATGAAACAAATGGACAACCAAATGTGCAGACACAGTACAAAATGAGATCACCACCTCAAATTAAAAAGTGCCTTTACTAAGGTCATACTTGACAATGAAACTGTGGATTTAAAGTTTTGGGTGAGTAAAGTGGCTAAATATTCAGATGGTGAATACTCCATTATGAATGAAGTAAAATGGAATAATATATCAAACTTCGCTCAACTGACCCATTACAGGTCTGAGATCTTCTTCAGAACTAAGACATATTTTCTGATATTTTCATAAAACATGACAGATAAAAAATTCCTTTAAAAAATGACAATGCATAAAAATAGTTTGAATGCTTTACTCTAATAACCAGTCAGTTCAATTTTTAAACCTACATCAATCCATCTGCATTGTAGCATAAGAAATTTCTTGATAGTGACAAAAAGAAATACATCAACTAGTTTATTAAGAAACAGATAAATGTGTTCACTTAAAATGACTTGCAACCACAACCTTTCAACAGCAGTCTTGAACTTTAAGAGTAACTTCAATTTGTTTATTAAGA